TTTTGAACACCGGGGAAAGTCACATTAATCACAAATAACCGACGGAAGTTCGACGGATCTCGAATAGTTATAAGATAGTAATAGTTCAGTAGAAGAAACGAGTTCACTCTGATTATATACCGGACTTCTAACTCCAATTTCTAGTTTCGGCTGCAACTCTAACGATGGACTTATTAAGCTACCATTGAACTATCAAGAGTTGTGCTAATTACCTCACATAAATGTTTGCAATGAGAACATAATTAAAATTGATGAAATTATTTGAAAATTCCAAGAATTCAGCTGCCAACAGCCACGGAAACACGACCACGCCCAATTAATGCTGCCCGTCTGCTTGCTATTATCCGCCATTGTGGAACCAGTGTCGTAGCCGACGGTAACGCCTTCTCATAAAGAACATCATTAATATTAAGAAAGATACTTTATAACCAAACATCGATTATGCGATGGAGAAGAACGTTGACCCAGCAATCACGAGAGGTATTCACGTGCTCTGGTACATCTCTAACGAAATGCAATCAGTCTTAGAATCTATGCAATCAGTCTTTTAAAGATATGTAACCTTTGTAATATGCAAATGGACAGCATCAAAAAGCTGATATTATGGATTTCAGATCGTCAAAGGCCGACGAAGCTCTTCCTTTGCAAGCAATCAACATGGATTATATCATATAAAACCATGCCTGCCTATATGAAAGAATTGTATTTTCGTCCATCTGGCACCAAACATGGGAGAGAAATTCACAGAACCAATCACACCGTCAGAAAGAAGATCGAAAAAATTCATTGGTGTTTGAAGTCTAAATTGGGAAAAAGGATTCAAATGAGGCTAATGCTGTTTTTCCTGAGAATGCATGACGGTAAACTAGAGTCGCACACTCGTGACAGTGCTTCCACGAGCAATTGAGTGTGAGCCTTCAAGAGACAACAAATATTTATGATATGATCATGTACGGCTGTCAAAAGTCTATGATAGAAATAACCATGAATAGGCACAGTGTGTATTTTCGATCCAAAGCTAATACTAGGCAGCAATCTGCTCGAAACTTTTTTTACCTAAATTAAGCATAGCTGGAAGCAACGCCAGTGACGTCTTCCCTTAGGAGCGCCGCCCTCCGAAGTTCTCCGAATTAAAGTTAGTCGAGGAGGGAGCGTCCCAATGAAAATTAACAGACGCGGCAGCTTCTGATTTGGAGTACCAGAAGCTGGGGCGACTCTAAATTTTATTAGGGGTCGAGCTCGCGCAGTGGCCGAGCCGCCAGCCTCGGATTACGAAGAGTCATTTCCGGCGTAGCCTGAGAGCCGGGTAAAAAATCGTGACCGGTGTCTAGAAGCAGACCAAATTTCAATCTCTAGATCATAATGCCCCATGAACATGATCCGTGATGCGTGGCAGCTACTTTCCTCAGTTGAAAGTTGAGCGGGAGTCGTGAGCGAGAATTTAGACATGCCAGACACGCTACACAGACATGGACGTCAAGAAACAAAAGAAGTGAAATGCACGAAGTTCCATTTCGAAACGCAAGTGATATTTTTTAAATTGATCGACTTGTAGTTACCGCGAGCTTCAATGAGCTGGCCAACGCAGATCAACGATCAATAACTCGCAAACAAAAATTGTACGAAAGAAGTTCGTCATTAAACCTGGTATTTGCTATCAAAGGCACACATGCAACATGCGATGCATGTTATAGCGGGGGATAATGGACTTATAACGAAAGAAAGATATATTAGGTAGATTGTTTTTCATCTTTAATATTATGGTAATAGATGTTATCCAAGCGTAAATCGCTTTGAGGTGAACCCGAGTTTTCGAAATGGAATGCATGACTTGCCGCCAAACGTCACCTGAATTTCCTGAGTGGTCGCAGCTTCGCAGGTGATCAATGAATCAGTCAATATTGACCTGAAGGCAGAACAGCCGCATCAATATTGCGCCACACATTATGAACAAAAAATAAGAACTTCACATATATAATTTTTTTATTATCTCTGTGAATTGTTAGTGTGTGACTAGCGCCTGATTCATACAAATAGGGAATTGTTCGTGTGTTTCTCTATCTCTTCCAACACCGGGAGAGAAATATATATATATATTTCTCTCTATAGTATATATATATATAGTATATAGATAGTATATATATATATATATACTATCTATTATCTCGTATAATAATCATTGATCATAAACCACCGAGAGGAGTAAGCGAAGGATGTGCCACGTTTGTAGTATGAGGCACTCATTTATATAATTCCAATGTAATCTTTATAGAATATCATTTAAGTTAAGAATTCATTAAACATCTCGCCACTCGGTCCTTTTATGAGATGAGATCAATTCAACTACAGCTAAATTTGTTTGTTTCGTAAATGAGAGGAGATTAAAGAACGAAAAACGAGTCAATAGTTCGTTAAAACATCGGTAAATTCATTCTTGGGTTTCCACCAGCTAACTCTGAATTAAAATTAAAACATATAATAATTTAAATCAACTGTCACATGTAAATGAAATAGCATAACCGCCAAGTTACTGTTTGACCAATAAATGAATCGTATCGCTTCCATAAACGCATTTTGTATCACCAGAGAGCTCCCCCGAAGATCATTGACAACGAGTACCATACGAATTTTTTAGTAGTAAATTAGCACAAATAAATTGTAGACAAAAATTGTAATCACAGATAACTCAAAATCACTGATACAAGATTCATTCCTAAACAAGCACAAATACCACTTCTAAGTTTACAACATGAATGAGACGATGCTATATAAGATTTGCACAATTTAAGAAAAAGACTTCTCTAGTAGAAGATTTGAATTTTATGATAAACAATTATGATATAAGATTTACACAATTTAAGAAAAAAACTTCTCTCGTAGAAGATTTGAATTTTATGATAAAAATTTTTCACGGATATTCAAATTGAGCTTTGCCTTTTTCATTTTAATACTCATGGATAATTTATTTAAAATCATTTCTTAAAGCCAATGACTTAAATGCATTAGAGTGATAGAGCTAAAATGCAATAATTGATATTTAATTATATATTATATCTTTTAATACAGTACACTTATGGTTTTGGTAGCTAGACTAGCGTTAGTGACGGGCGCACATTACTCTGAAATGAGCAGTATCATTTCTCTATTATTTGTAACAAATGTGCAAAAATTTACTAGTCTTATTACTTCATCCTCATCATAACTGCAATAATAATAAATATTTCTCGGGTATGTTACAGACAAGAGTAATAGCTTATCTTATTTTTTTCGAATTTAGAAATTATTACAAATTATAAATTTAATCACAATTCCAAAATCAAATTTTTCATCACGAGACAAGTCAAAATGTTCCCTTTTATATCGCAGCAAACCAAACATCGCATTTCCCTTCCCACTTCTTTTTTTCAGCGCACAAAAAACCACTGGCGTGATCAGGTCTCGTTTCAAAGTTACCCGAACTGCTGCATTGCGTGACGCTCCAGCGACCGTTGCGGTGAGCGATCCTATACTAGGCATCTGACGTTGAAATAACGTTGATTAAACGTTGCTTCGACGATACCGAGTAATTATTAACGTTGTTTTACCGTCATTTGGTTGGCGGAATGCCATGTGTATTGTAATGAATGAATGCTCGATTCGACGATTTCTGGTAGGTGGATATCAAAGGTTGTATTTATTGAGTTGTAAGCAAATAAAAGGATAATAAATACTATAATATGTTGAGTTAATATCGTTAGTATAATCGAATTCGCTCCCGTCTCAAGTTGCGTCTGGTAGCGTCGGAAATTTGTTTTTGACTACTTTACATCTTCCATATAAATATTCGGCAAGCATTGTCTCTTATCAAAAGGTGAAACTACTACTACAGTGGTTCAACTCCGCCTTACGAACTAACCGCCATACAAACAGTCCGATTGTAAAAAAATGTGCCGCACTTTACCATAAGGCTTCGCAGTACGATTCTGAAGCACTGCTGAAGCGCTGTTAATCGGCATAAAAGGTGTCGATAGAGTATCTATTGATGATATTTGTAAATCATTAAGATACTTGCGCCGCGGCCGGCATTTAGACGGGTTGTCGACTTGGCCACGGGGTACGGCCAAAATAAAATTACGATCTCCACTATCTTAGATCAGAAAGATGCCATATCAGGAATCTCAAATAAAAGTAATTCGGAATTTTCGCACTTTATTAGGTATTGAAAAAATTTGGCTGCTTGTTTCTTGACGTAAAAAAAAACGGAAACTAGCTTTTGAAGAAACTGGAGACTGGAGTTACATCTGAAACCAGGTACTTTTTTCCTGGAATATTGCTGAAAAAAATCGAAAAGTTTCCTTTTTCGGAATTTTATCTTCTACAATGTTTCACGAATTTTGAAATTTTTGCCGAAAAAAGGAACTTGGCTGTTCGGAAATAATCCCAGATACTTCAAGAGCTTGTTGTCGGCCTATCGTTCACGCAAGGAGACAGAAAGCCGAAAATATATTCAATTTGGTACCTGCTTAGCTGGAGAAGTGACAATAATTCGTTTTCACTATAGTTAATATAATAAAGTATAGTTTATACACACAGAAGAACTGACTTCCGAGGAGCCCCGACACGCAATTAAAGTTATTTCCATTCATTTAAATTGAAAAGAATGGGTTTGCTGTGCGAAAGAACAACTTAAAACGAACTGAGTTGATAAGGCGGGGTACAAGGGGTTCCACTGTAGTGGCTGTACCACGTAAAAGGACCGATTTCAAATAATTTTTTAACTTTTTCAGGAACTCATTAATTCAGAAACAGGAGCGGCCAAAACATTTAGCGCTACACTCGGAGTTTCGGACAGCTTTAGTACCTAATCGCAGGCGACAGCCGACAGCCACTGACGTTGGTCAATAAACATCAGTACGTAAATTAAAGAAAACTTAAAATTCACGGAACATTTCCACGTGCAAGAAATGTATGAATACGAATTATCCCTACTCCAAACCCTAAGTCTGCATGCTAATTGTTACCTGAGGCTGTAGTGGGAGAGGACCGTCCCCCATTTCGGGGGTGAGGCAAGAACTTGCTGCCCCTGCGGCTACTTCAAGATCGCTCCACACGTCCTCAACAACTCAAAATGTGCCACAAAATAAGATTGATAAAGGATACACGTTTTCTGAACCCTAACTCAGATCACTTGATTTCCTTACAATAGGCCACCAATATAATGGATATTCTGGTTAATTTGTTATTACCTAAGTTATTGAAATGCAATCACTAAGCACCACCTAGTTTGAATGCATGCTCGGAAGACGGCCGCGCACAACCACACGCACTCGCTGCCAAGAGCAATCTGATTCTTTGAGACTCGAGTCACTCGACGGTCAGTCAGGCGGCGTCATGAGGCGGACCCGGCAAGACGGAAGACGCCTCCTGATCAAAAAGCGGCTAAATCATTAAAATCATGTTCCTCTTTCCACCTTCTCTGAAAGACAATTTCTAGCTATTCTTAGACTATAAACAATAAGCGGAAAACTCTGTCCTTGAATACGCTACCTGAGTATTGAGACAATGTCTTTTCTTATAAAAGCACGTCCTAGTCCAGCACGTTACCAAACCAACCCATTATAGAAGTAAACAGACTCCCAATATTCTAGACCTGGTGTTTACCAGTGATGAATCAATGTTGGATGAGCTTCGTCACGAGGCTCCGTTGGGCAAAAGCCATCACCAATCATTGTTTTTCAGACTTCAGTGCTGTACAGAAAAGACGCCTCGGAAGCGTGAGCGTTCGAATTTTGCGAAAGGCGACTATGATAAACTCCGTGAAGCAGTGAATGCAGTGAATATTTCGGACTGTATTAAGGACATGAATGTGGCTGAGTCATGGTCACTTCTCAAGGACACGGTTATGTCTGCAGTTGATGCGTGTGTAACTAAAATTAAGCTTGGTGGAGCCAAAAAAACTCGGTGGATGAACAGTACAGTTTTAGCTAAGCTGAAAACAAAGAAGGAAGCATACCAGCGTTATTTACAGACTCNNNCAGGCAATAAGTCCAGCAGCTATCTCAATCAATCGTCAGTTATGGAAAGATCGGGTTTCAAAGGCCGGATCCCTTGTGAATCAAGTCACGAAAAGTTCAAGAATCGGCAACAGGCCATGGGCCTATTTCTTCAACGCCGACACTTCTATTCTATTCTATTCTATTCTAAAAGAAACAAGGATTCAACGAATAATCTAAATAATATCAGGATTACTATTTTCCTCGTCGACGATTCATGAATTAACTGCAACAGTCCATCATCAACGTGTTATTTAGATACACAATACAGGGTCCGCCATATTTATGGCAACTCATGTTTTTTGTTATTTCTCAATGAAACAAACAGGTGCATTGTTTTTTTTATTGGATGAGCTAGTAGCCAAGAATTACCTAAACAATTCTCAGACATATTTATTCAATATGACCACCCTTATTTTTAATGACGGCCTCCAATCTACGCGGGAAAGCTTCACAGGAGCCACGCAGCATTTCTTGAGGGACCAAGTCCCATTCTCGTGTCAATTTCGACTTAAAACTATCTAAAGAATCATGAGGTGTTCTGCAGACCCTACTCTCTAAAATAGCCCACACAGAAAAGTCGAGAGGATTCAAATCGGGGCTTCTTGAGGGCCATTCATTTTTGCTAATGAACGCTGGGATGAGACCCTGAATCCAGTTTTGGGTCATGTTTAAGCCATGTGATGGGGCAGAGTCATATTGAAAACTCCATGGTGAGCCGTTGAAGTGTTTACGGGCACAAGGTAACAACACAGCTTCCAAAATGACCGAAATGAATCGCTGCACTGTTCAATTTCACTCATGAGGGGACCAAAACGAGTGGGTACCATGAGTGGACACGACGATGAGTGGACAAACGACGAGCGGACATGGGATTTTGACGTTGTGTTGCTGTTCTGGTTGCCACAGATCCATCCCGACTCCAAACTCTGTCATTTTGACGGTTAACGCTTCGTTCAATGTAAAATTTTTCTCGTCACTGAACACCAAGTTGGGCAGCGTGCCATCCTCAATGAGATCCAGAATGTGCTGGCATCTTTCGAGCCTCAGTCGTTCATGACGGTCTGTTAGTTCCTGCCTTGTTTGCATCTTGTAAGGGGAGGTTTTGAGGTCATCTTTGAAGACTCTACGCATTGATGTCTGACTGACTCCTGCTTCTGCAGCCAATTTTGCAGCTGAGCGAAGAGGGTTTCTCCTCAACTTCTCCCTCGTGCTTTTGACCGATTGTTTTGTTCAGACACTTCGTTTCCTTCCTTGACCAGGTCGATTGCATGTTTCACCAATTTCCTTGAATTTTTTACCATCTTCCACACAGTTTCACGACGAATTTGGAGCTTTTTTGCAATGACTGAATTACTCTCGCCCTTTTCATGAAGGGTTACAATTGCATTTCTATCTACTGCCACGAGTAATAGTAAATTTAGACACCTTAGACTTCTGCAATATAAAATAAATGAATAAATAGATGATATTAAGCTTCATTATAAAAGAAAAGTCTCCTAGAAACCAATTTATTTTTATATAGCAAACATTCGTTGCCATAAATATGGCGGACCCTGTACTTTTGAAATCTTCAATTTTCTTACAACAGGTAGCCAGAGTACCCGTCCTAAAAACTTTGAGCGATCGGCTCTCTTCGAGAAGAGCGATCAAAGAACAAACTTTTCTTTCTTTGGTTCCATGGTCAACTTGACTACTTATAACTTCCGGCAACATGCACGGTGTACTTGTGGATAAACATGTAGCTTATGGCTTTCGCATAATCCATCATTGTGTGGAAAATTTTATATACCAATATATAATATATATCACTAGGAGGAGAAGGCGATTATCCCGTTCATCTCGGACATTTTGAGCGAACCCAACATGCATTGAATCTAAAATCTTTGGAAACGCTAGAATATATGAATGGGAATAATAGCATTTCGTGTTTCAGCCACCACCTTGAAATTTTTCAGATGTCATAATTATTCTTTGATTGGAAGAAATTATACTTATCATATCTTTATAGGTGATTCATTCTATGAGCATCATCGTTTTCAGCACGATTCTTTCATTAATAGCGATTTCTTGGGCATAAACTTGAGTTTAATTTAATGATCTCAGCCAGACGACTTGTTGCAACTCATTTTAGTGCACTCGAAGTTTCAGAAGTGCTTAAATTTTGTTATTTTATAGTTCAGTTTTTCAATCAGTTTAATGTTTTGTTGTATTCAACCGGTTTGCTATGAACTGAAGTGGGTTAACCTCACAACTCATCGAGTCAAGTAAGTCGTGGTTAAAATAATAAAAAATAATGCCACAATCGTCCTGCGCGACAATAGCACATTTCAGTGATTTTGTGCCATAAATAAATAATGCTACATTCAAAAAGAAGCTATACTCGGGAATGCTACACTGCTAATGACCTAGAGCAACCACTCAGTCATGCTGTCGTTTTTGGAATATTTAATAACCATGATAAATAATATAGAAATAAAGAATAGTATATAACAATTAGAGTGCAATGAAGTGTTCAGCAGTTGGCAAGTTAAAGTTTTTGACGTGATTGTCGACGAGACTTTTTGATTTTTTTCGGAAACTCCTTCGTTGACGAGTTTCCGTTACAAGACTGCTCGGTGGCAAGATGTACAACTCCTCCCTAGTTGCAGTTCAGTTAATGTTTAGAGTACTCCCAGACACACTAATTATGCCAGCCGACGGTAAAATAACATACGCTGGTGTCACAAACAAATTACCAATCCGTACTCGACATTCATCAATTGGAATTTCGGTTGGTAAGATAGGCGCTGGCAGTCCAAACGGTTGCAGCTTTCTGATTTTTTGGCCGAAGGTCTATTTGGTATGTTAAAATGTACGTTTTCAGGATGCACTGTGGATATTTACACCATTAAATGATTGTCAACTGAAGAACGATTATCTTTCCCCTCATTTCCTTCACAATCGTCCTTTAATCGTATAGCAACCGTTTCGACAAAGTAATCGTAGTTTAAGAAGCATTGAGGAATTAAAAAAAACTGCCAACATGAATGAGCTCATTACTGATTTAGTCATTGCACTACGTTAAGAAAATGTATTGCACGATGATTTTTATTTGATTTATTGATACTAAAATGATAATTTAATCTCAGAGCTGAAAAATCAAAATAACGTGAAATAACTGCGTAAAGTTTTCGCCCTCATGTAATGACGGACATCTTAACATATAACTGTAAAATGGAGAATCCGGGCCATTCATCGTCTATAGGAGCCTATTAAAATTTCAAATAACTCATAAATATGATGTAACGTGCGTGTTATCGCTTCCGTATTATAATGCAAAAGGATTTGCAAACATAACTTATAAAATCATCAATGCAGCTTCATTTTTCTATCTTCCTGATAAGATCATTATGCGGATCCTCGCTCCTTTTTTCAATCGAATTCTTGGTAAATTAAGAACGAAGCTTGCATAATATGAATAATGAATTTACTGTAGGGTCATTGGTTGTAAATTCACTAATTTGTATTTTGTTTCAGAATCTACGAAATTCTAGCTCTATTGCATGGACAAATGAGTGAAGTTAATTTTTAAGCCAAATATAAGCAGCGAATTACCGATTCAAATCATTTGTACAGTTGGAAGTTTTGAGAGTTCTTTGCTTCAACTTATCCTTCTCAAGATATATATGGACCTTTCTGAGCATTATGTGATCAAGAAGGTCCCGGCTTACCTACTTAACTATCATCAATCAAAAAAATATATGTTTAAAAATTACTTTTTAAAGACAACACTTCCAAAGAATCCAGTGTCTCCAATCTTACAGATGTACAATGAATTTCTCATTTAATTTTCGAATATTAAAAAAATTAATTTTTCAATTTTTTTGATATATAATTTTTTTCAAAATTATTTATTATATTAATTGATTCATGCATTGCCTCTGACTTCACACAAGTGTGCAAAATTTCAGATCAATTAGACAGGTAAAAGTGTCTCAAATATCAGTTATAAAATTTGTAGCTGACCAATTATTTTTTCAATTTTTTTACTATTGAAAAAAAAAACTTTTCTTCTAATTTCTAAAATCATTTATTTTGACATTTGATTCATGCATTGTCTCCAACTTTACACAAGTGTGCAAAATTTCAGATCGATAGGATAAGTAGAAGTGTATTAAATTTCGATTACAAGATTTGTAGCAGACAGACAAACAAACAAACAGACAAGAAGTGAAGTTAAAGAGAAGTGTTGTAATTAAAGTTCACCTGCACCAGCTATGTAAACTTCGTAACGA